ACCAGGAATGGTAGTGGGAGAAGAAGAGCTATGGAGAATAAGATGACATATCCTTGGTAAGCCAGAAAGAGTATTGCAAATGGAGCTGCCCACACGGCCAATGAAATCATGCTCAACTGCTTGAGTTTCATGCAGAAGGCATTATATTGTGGACAGGTTACCAACAGATATCGCTCCTGAGCAACACAGACCATGAACACGATGTTGGATATGATCCCGAAGTAGAATATCAGGGAAGATATATCCATACTCGACATACTGGTTTTCTCAGCATCCTCCCCAGATGCCTTCGGCCGCCCAAGGATGTTGAAGATGTCGGATGCGAGCAGGCTGATGAGGAAGACAGGAGCAGCCTTGCCAGTTTTTGCCTGCATGCCCATGAGGTAGATAGAAAAGCCAATGCCAGGAAGCCCAACAGCAAATGTGATCCATCTGATGATCTCTTGGATCTGGTCTACATTTATGGTGCCATTGTTCTGAGGAGCCGTGTTATTACCGTCCAATACTGTGGTGGTATCCATATGTTGCAGAATCATACTGGTAGTTTCTAGTTCTAGTTACCCTAAATGTGATTAATATATCCAAGCTGATGCGTTTGGTAATATGCCATGTCAAGTAGAATATATTCTTCAGTTCTAGCAAGCGATGCAGAAAACTCTGTGGCTCTTTAATGTGGTAAACAGATCGGTTTATTTTAGCTATCACCATTTTTATGGCTCATCTGCAAACTGTTCCTGTAAGCTCTTTCATTGCTTGTTAGTCAATGCAAATATTTCCTATGTATTCACATTAGTTTTATCTATGCAAGCTCTTTCTAGAAGCAGTTTGGACCACTGAGGAGTGTAATGTTACACATGAAAAATAAATACATTCATATATTTTTAATACAGAATATTGAAATGAATTCAAACAATTTCTGACAATTTATTTAATTGACACATTATATATAAGATGCCAACACATTCAACAATACTGTAAGCAACAGTATGCATTTTATACAGTTTAATAACAGGTTAATAACTTAGACAATAGTAACAAAGCAAACCATTGCTAACTTAAGACCACTTGAATACTGACAATCTCTTGGAGCAAATATACAACAGTTAATAAATATTGTTATATGATGTCTTCTTTATTTTTGCCCAGAGCAGCATTCGCCTGATGCTATCCTGCACTTGCCTGACACTAAATCGGATCATTCATTCAAATTTGTATTGTATTTTCTTTACAAAAGCACATTGGCATGGCACATTCAAGCATCACAGTCAAGCACACAGAGCTTTTAAATCTTTGACTTATTATATATTTGAAAAGTGAATGAGAGCATATTATCTTTCCTGTCTGATACTTGAGTAATTGTTTTGAGAATATGAAGAGGGCTGTGCCAAGGAATCACTGATAAAATGATCTGATCTGTTTTAAAGAGAAAAACGAAGCGGTCCTACATTGAATCATTTAACGTGTGCTTGCTTACAGTACACAAATAGAGCCCCAAAATTGGGTTTTTGTTTACCTTTGGCCTCCTGATTCAGAATATTCTCTAAACACTGCATGTATAAAATGAGAAATCGTAGGTTTGATACTGAACTTTATGTGTGAAACGATTGATAATTAAGGTGCAGGTAAAAAGCTTCATTGTCTATTGTCATGAGTTTAGGAATGTATGAAGCACAGCTCACACAGAACTCACTTTCAACCAAGCAGCTTTCTGTTGGTCAATGCAGTGAATCCACGTGGCCAACATGAATGGGGAAATCTTTTGCCCTCTTGCAAAATTTCTAATCGGGTGGATTCCCAGTTGAAATGACTGGATTTCGCCCATGAAAATTCACTGAACAACCACAAGTGAGAACGCACATTTAAATGGCCAACTAGATTTTTACGTTTTATGAAAATAATGTAAGCGATGCTTGTGCATGCAGAACTTGATGCCACAATGCTAGGGTCCTTCAGGTAGTTGCCAGAGAGATGCTATAAGATCTTAAATTGTTCTTTAGTATGTTGCGATGTAATTGCTAGGTGGTTGCCAGAGTGTTCGGGTGGTTGTTTCCTGGTCCAATCATATGGTTCGGATCTCTACTTCCATTTTATTGGTAATTTTTCTTGTTTTATTGTCCATCAGTTGAAAATTTTAAGTCTAATCACTTAGGAAGCACCACTAATTAAACATACACTATTTGAACTGTAATCCTTTTAGGTAAATACTTGTAAACATAGATCAATGGGAATCCAAATCGGGAAGAGAATGAAAGGTATTAAATGGATGCAGATATAAAGCAGTAGGGATCATGCCGAATCATCTATTTCATGCCATGTTAATAAAGTCTAATTGTTAAAACGTCCTCAGCATGTCTCACGTTTCAAATCTGTAGCCTTTTTGTATCATTTTACAGATTTTGCTGTGGTAGATATCATCACATTCAAAGCATTCCAAATGCTTGACTTGTGTGGGCTTGTCAAAATGAAGCATTTATTGTGTTTATTGTTCTTGGTTTGTGGCCCTAGATCCATTCTCCATTATATCTGCTGTTTCAATGTATGTTTTGAAGACTGAATGTGAGCAAGTTTGGTTTTTTGGGGGTTATTTTAAGTCTGGAGAAGGCAATGAACTCTTTGTAACTGTGTCTTTGAAAGCAAAAGACGATGCACCTGTTCCTGTCCTCGCGCGCAAGGCATCATCACACGACCAACCAGCACAGCATCTCCTTTCTTCTCCTCCTTTGCCTGAGAGCAGAGGAAGAAGAATGAGGGGTTTATACAGACCCAGACAATGTGGGAAAATGTTGTGTATTTGTCTGACCTTAACAAAGGAAGTGCAGGGAAAAGTGGCGAAATCAGACGAGACTTGAGCACCAGGCCTATGAGTCACTACATGCTCAGCAACTTCATCCTTCAAAGAAAGAAGTTGCTTAAATAAGTGCAGGAGACATTTTAATGATGACTGTTTGATTTTAAAGCATTTTTGGTTTACCTTAAGCCTATCGAGAGTGTCACTGAGCGACTGCAGTCTTGCTGTTTGCTCGAGGAGCTGTGCACTGGGACTCACTGTTAATGAAAACACAAACACTGTAAAGTAATTACTGTATAAACAACAGAAATCTGCATTTTTAAGTCTAATTATGACAGACCTGGAGATTTCCCAGTGATGTCCACCACTTTCACATTGGCACTCATCTGGAGGAGAGTATCCAGCAGTTGGTCTGTTTTGCGGTAGAGGGCGCTAGACAGCACCTCAGGCCTGCAGCCCTCTCGCCAGCCCAGCTTTGGCACGTTCAGAGGAGGAAGAGATGCCAGCTGAGCACGCATCTTTTCTGCCTGCGGCCCACACAGACACACAAAAACAAAAGTGAGAAAAAATCCTCAGCGCCTGCATTGGGGAAATGTGCTTGTGAAGCAGTAGGAGAGACCTTTAGTCTGTTGTTCTCGTTCTTTAGGTGCTTTAAACTGAGTCGCTGAGCTTCAATCTGCTGAGTCAGCAGTGGAGAATCTATCACTTGCACTCCAGCAGCTGCACACACACCTTTCACACACAGAACAAATTACTGCATGTTAACCAGTGTTAATTTTGACAGCAAATTTTGATTTGCTTGATTTGAAATTATTCGCCAATGAAATTAAAGGCAGTGTAAGTGATTTCTGGTAGCCAATGTTTATATTTGAAATCACCAAAACAAACACGCCCCTACCCCGAAAGGGTCTTGCCCCTATTTTGATAGCTCCGCCCCACATATACGTACGCAACCCAGGCAACGATTAGTTCTGTGAAACAAAGCAAAACCAATGTTACACCGTGTCTACGGACGTGAGCGGCGCGGCGCAACAAATCCCCGACAGAAAGCTGCTGCCGGGTTCTATTTATGACGTGCTGACACACGTTTCAAATGGTTTTCAACGGTTGTTTGATCGCGTCCAGTGTAGGCAGACTTTAGCTGTTGTAGACACGGTGTTACTCACCTACTGAGAAGAAACATAGCAACCTCGGCGTCCGATCGCAGGCCTCCGCTCCTTGAGTTCTCTCCAGCGCTGGAAAGCTGATCCGATATTTACACGGGTCCTACTTCTTGCCTTATCGTTCCGCAGACCTTTTCCTCTTTTGTTTTTTATCCGCCATCTCTATCTTTCTGTCGCTGGCTCGGCTAATGTCCGTCCCATGCACTGAACGCGCTCTCCTCCACATCACGAGTAGACACGCCCCTTATTGCTGATTGGCTACAAGTTTGTTTTGTTGTTCGGCCCGAATCAGTTTTTAAAGTGTTTTTGAAAAATCACTTACTCTGCCTTTAAGCAGAAATGTCAGAAAGTCATTGTTTGTTGGATAATGTGGTTTTGCTGCAGCACCTGATGTAGCTGCTCTGATCAGATCACTTCAGCTAAAGGAAGAAGTGTGTACTGTTCCATATCAGTACACTTTAGCAGACATTGAGAAATAGTATCTAATTAAGTGTTGTGTTCAACCTCTTACATCTAGGGCTGAAAATCAAGATTCATCTCAACACAATAAGACTGTGGTTTGATTGGTGAAAACCCCTGTGAGGACACTGAAGTTTGTCCATCATGCAATTGCATTTTAAAGAATGTTCTTGAATTCTTTGTTTTGTGCTTGAAGTGAAATCTTCTGAACCCACTGGCTTTTGCGTATCAACCTGTTTTCAAAAAAAAAAAGAAGGAATTATTATTATTATTATTATTATTATTATAAATGTAAAAGAACAATCTATAATCGTACATTACGGCTCTGTGCGATATCTTTCATGGTGTTTAGCAATTCATTCTCCAGAGTTTGTCTGAACTCAATCTGTAATTTCTTCATTTGTTTGATCTCATCACTTTCCATCATTCCCTGGTATTCTTCTTCAGTCTGTAAAACAAACGTGTGAATATGCATGAAATCTGAATATAATCAACAGGATATATAAATATAGATATCTACTATCTAACCACCATAAAACATCTGGAGCGGAATATTCAGAATGTTCAGTGTTATGATTTCATGATCTCAGTGATACTTGAACTTGATTGGCTGAGTGGCGATCTAATACAGTCTAACAGCACTGGGCCAGTTCAGTGTTTCTGCCACGACGCTTATCATTGTTTTTATCTCTGCAGCAAAAGGACAGATACTGGTAAGCCTGATGACATGAAATTCATAAATCATCTCACACTAGCTGTCTTGCTTGTGATTCTTTGTTCAGACTCTTGCTTGAATGGTGACACTTTTCTCGTCCGTGCTGCATGGAATAAATGTCTCGTATCAGTGAACATGCAACTCCAGGAAAGGCTTTTCTGAATGTCTCCAGCACTATTCACACAATCGGAGCAATATCAGACTGCGATGTCAGTGATTCGCAATAATTCTCTGCAGTCCTTCAGCTGAAGAAGTGTTGAAGGACAGTGTCACTAAAACGGACACCAGGAAACTTTCTGACGATTGAATGCTTTCAAATCCTGCAGAATCTGCCAGTGAATAAGTCCAGAAGTCACCTGCAAGCTGTGCTGATGAGATCTGTGCAACGCTGTCTTGTCCAGTGGCCTGTTACTCCAGCATTTTCCTCACCATCAACAGTGACTGATCCTAGTCTTGCTCTCCAGTTTGAGCTTCTTCTTCTTTCTATTATTCAACGATTGAACCACTTCACACATCTGACTGAACAGCATTTGAGTGAATATACAGGAAATTACCTTTTATTAAAACCATATGTGGTATATATTAAAAGCAGCCGTGCCTCTCTTATCAGAAAAAAGCACAAGTGTTACATACGTATGATAATATCACTGAATATGATGCTTTGTGTGTTTCTGACGCCAGTCATTTATATTAAGTGTACTTAGGGTCACCTTTCTTCAATCGTTCCTGGAGCCATTTCGTTCCACAAAAAGTGTCTTTGTCACTTGAGATATTTTTGGGAGAAACTCACATTTGTCCGGGTGTTATCCAGGTGGGACGCATCTTCTCGAGCCACGATCTGCTGCGATCTCAGCTTCTTCCAAACGTAAGAGGCATGTTTTGGCATCTCTCACACTTTACAGTAATACTCTGTATAGACGTTCTGTGCAAACATCGCAGATCTTGTTCCTGGTCAAGATCTGCTTCCAGTATTTGCACACGTGCTCTACACAGTCCCATTACCACAAAATGGGAGTCTCCAAAACATGACAACATTGTAGTCGATCACGGGCGATTCTTTCTTTAACGCTACTGTGCAGACTCGGGTCTCGCATCAGCGCAAGACGTCAGTGCCGTATTGGGACACTGAAGAGAGAGAAGGAGCGTCGTCCATCTTTTTTACAGTCTATGTCCTGTACTCGTACTCACACTCATTAAAATGCTCCAATGCACAGTTCAGTGCTTGTGACAAAGAAACACAGACAACATAGCAAACAGACAGCAGAATAGATCAGAGAAGGATCTCTATGAAGTAAATGTATCGAATATTAAACAAATGAAACATTCATGCCTATATAGCTGGTGGTGTGCGCGAGCTGATAAGCAAACGCGGAGTGGATTGAGCGCGCAGACAATGCTGGCAAGTTTGTACATCGGTCGGATATGTCGATAGCAAATAAAGTAAAACAAGGCACACACTGGATTACTAACGTTAACTGACAGTAAACAGAGAGATAAAGCGCACTTCTGTTGCATGCTCTTGATTGCTGATCATTCACTCTGCACACATGAAAAAATAAATAAATTAAAAAAACGTTTCTTTCTTTTTCCGTAATCCCTCCCGGTCTATCTTGTACTAATCTGAACAACGTCTGAAACGTTGTATTACGAGCACTTTCTGTGTTCATTTGTCTCTTTATGATTCGGTATGCTTCGGTAAGTCGCGTCTGCTAAATGAATAAATGTAAATGTAAACTATATCAGAGTATTGTTTTTTCCTCTGCAGTTTCCCAGCAAACATCACAACCGGTTCTTCCTCATAGACTGGTCACTAGGGACAGTGTGAACACTGTTACATATTATTTTATTTTTTTACAACTACACTTAAAGGTTGCCTAAAATGGTAAATCATTTTTTCGGATTTTTTTTTTTCAGCGTTTATTAAGGTTTTAATAAAAGAATACATAGAATATTTACAAATAAAGACAGACAAAGATCATACAGTGACATGTAACGTAAAAAAAACTGTTTATGTGGCAACAGCTAAAATAACTGGTTTTACTCAAGACTAAAATATTATTTAATATGACTATGAATCAATCCAATTCCATTAGGTTAAACCAAAAAAATGTTGATCTGAGTTAGATCAGGCATAAATAGCTCCTTTAAGTAACAACTGTATATTAGTACATTTTACAGTGTAGATATTTGTACTTGGTTCCCAACAACTTCGATTTTCAATTTAACCTCACAGATTACTCCAATTTTTTAGGCCTTGTTTAGACGGTTAAAAAAACCTTACTTACCCAACTGCTGTCACTGGGCAATCTTTTAGTGGTTGGTCTTGCAATACAAAGTCTATGGGTGGCTACATGGAAAAACACCTAGAGGTGTGGTTGTTTTCCAAGCAGTTGTACGTAGGTGGAGCTCGTGACAGGTGACAAAGCACTGGCAGTGGCACTTGTGCGCATGTGTTAGTATTTTTCCATCCAGCAACGCATGCAAAATTTCATTGACGTCAGCGGTTGCTTAAACATAGCTTGTCTGAACAGGTGAGAAAGCGATCTCCTACACGCATTGTGGCTATGCTGTTTTTCTGTTGAGAAGTATGGCCACATTAGTTTTACAATGTTTCTTGACATTCAAAATACATTATTTATTCCAAGCAAAGAATAATATGTTTAAAGACATCAACCAAAAATAAATAAATGATTTCTGTTCATATAAGATGGCAATGTGTAGTGTTTGGTTTGACATGTCAAATCACCAGTATGTTTTTTTTTAAGGTTATGTTAAAATAAAATATAATTCTAGATATATATGAGTACATGGGGGAAAGGCTACAAGCATATTATCGGGTCTATTGTAGTGACTGTAGTACTTTTTGTTTTCTTTCTATGAATTCTATCCTCCAAATTAAAATTCCATATGATACTGTTGGATAAACTTGTGGACACAATAAAACCACACTATAGCATACATTCAGATGGATATGTAATGGACATATATTTTAACAGAAAGGTTAAACTGGCTTCTCAAGGCAAGGCGTTTTTCATAAATTGCAAGATTGGACAAGTTGTCGAAATTTTATTTGGGCTTGCCGTGTCTTGATATTTTTAATGCAGTGGGTGATGCAGACTGACTCAAAGGATGTTAGTCATGCACTGATCCCATTCCCTCCCTCAACTTTCCTATTAATTCTCTACTATAAAATAGAGATGAAAAAAAAAAAACTTTATACAATAACATTATTTATTTCAACAATTGCAATGAACAGCTTAGAATATCCAGTGATCACTGCATGAGTGAAAAAGACATAGGAAGACATTCAGGTTTAGCCATAAAACAAGGTTTGTCTTGTGCTGTGCTCTGTGTC